GTTGGAGTAGGGTTAAGGGTAGGATTAGTGTATTGGTAGAGTAACCCTAAGCCTATTCCTAACCTTACCTCTAACCCTACCCCTATTCCTAAACCAACCATAACCCAACCCTACCCTAACCCTACCCCTAACCTAACCCTACACTTACTCGAAGTCCTGAAGTCCCAACCGAAGTTCTGAAGTCCCGAGTTTCAGAATGCCAAACCGAACTGAATATTTTTCCCATGCAAATCCCTAGTGCCAGGATCCAGTGGCCTTCCTTTGCACAATTCTGTGCAAAATGTTCGTCTGTCATCAGCATCTACAGCGCGCTAGTAACAGAAATACATAGCTTCTACCATTGAAGCATGCATTTCCCCCTCCCTTCCTCTTATATCTAATGCCTCCTGACTGTCCCCACTTCCCTATACCCTTAATTGACTGTTTTTTTGTTGTTGTTTTTGTTAAATATACCCTGCCTCCCCTGTCTCACACTCCCACACTCCCTTACCTTACTGTCTTAGAGAACACACTTGGTCTCTGAGTTCAATCAAATGCTTTTCTATCGGAGCCATGTCCAGCTGCCCCATTAGATATGATTGCACTGTGTAGCAGGCACAAGGATCAATCAGTAACGCTCCCAGCATGGCCTTGAAGGAGCCTGTCAGTGGGCGTAGCTAGTGACGCAAGTCATGTTACTAGTGAAGCCGCTCTTGGCCCCTTCCATGCAGTTCCAAGCCCCCCTCCCCCAACAGTTGAGAGGTACACATTAAAGTGTGGTGGGGGGGACCAAATCAGTAAAACTTAATACTTAATAGAGCATTACTTGTTAAAATAACTGTATACCTAAAAAGTGTTTTTAAAAAAATAAATAAAAAATATTTATGACCTTATATGAAAAATTGCAAAATAGGGAATACCATATTATTTATAAAATGTTTTATTCCCAACTGTAAATGATGAGCATATAATTGAAAATTAAGATTGTTGTAAATGTATGTAATCTTAATTTTTTTAAAACAAACTCCTATACCAATCTACACTCAAAAATGTGTTTATGTGTCAATGCACTTTCAAATAAATCTCATGGTATCATTCTTACATAAAGAACCTGGTTGTGAAGGGGATAACATGATCCATTGTATCATCAAATGTCAACAAAGGGTCAATTGCTGGGTTGTAACTTCCTCACTTTTTTAAAATCCAAACCAAACAGGCATCCCTTTTTTTGCCCTCTTATTATCATGTGACTTTTACTGTATTTTACTCTAACATACAGCTTTCACAATCCTTTCTGCTGTGATTACATCAGTAATGAGCAGTGACGTCTCTGCTTCCGTATAGGACACCTCTAACTCTCAAATAATGGTTGTCCTTGTTACTGTTTTAGGAACTGAAGTTCAACACAAGAAATTAATGCAGTTCCAATTATGTGATCCTTGGTTCAATATCATTTAAAAGCCTATAACACTGTAGGATTACAGCAGACACAAGATTCCCTTAATGGCTAGAGATTTCTTAATGGTTATAGAACTCTGGACAAAATCTGGAAGTGGCCCTGCATAGAATTGTGGATAACATATTAAAAGACAAACTAACAACAATGAACAAGATACATTATAACTGAGTAAAACAAACTTGTCACAATATTTGGACCCCATAGCTAAAGTATCCCTTCTTCTTAAAAGAACACTGTAGGGTCAGGGACACAGACATGTATTTCTGACCTTATAGTGTTAAACCCACCGTTTAGCCCTAAATATAACAATATCTTACTTTTACTAAAGTCTGCTGCTGGCTCTGCCCCTGATCTGCCTGCTTGACTGACATCATCAGAAGTGATTATCCCAGAGGAAAGCATTGGATTGGTTGAGCTTGTCAATGAGGCAGATTAGGGCAGAGCCAGCACAAGCCAAATACAGCCTAGTCTGCACACTAGGCAGCACTGCCCCAGGTAGCATCTCTAATAGCCATCTGAGGCGTGGCCAGTAGAGGTATCCCTAGGCTGTAATGTAAACACTGCGTTTTCTCTGAAAACACTGTTTACTGCATAAATTCTGAAGGGAATGATTATGCTCACCAGAACAAATGCAATAAGCTGTAGTTGTTCTGGTGACTATAGTGCTCCTTTAACTGTATTATCCCTCTTTCTGTCTTTAAAGGGACACTAGATGAACCAAGATCACAGACCAAGTCTGCTTGCAGTGTCCCTGGCTCCATAACCCTGCAATGTAACCATTTGCAGCTTTAGAGAAACTGCAATGTTTATATTGCAGTGTTAAGATTGCTTTTAGTGACTGTCAACCAGACAACCACTGCAAGAGTTTCTTCAGTTTCACACAGTTTGACTTCATGAATCTTTGTTAATTTTGACGTGGGTGGGGGAGACCTAATGCACATGCGCAGCAATTGCCATGCTCGCATTAGGACTATAATGCTTTCCTAAGGGGCTTTGGGTGACACTGGATGTCCTCATGCATACTGTGAGGACGTCAGTGCATCAGTTAGGTGACCAAAAATCGCCTAATGACCCCAAAGTCTCTCTAGTGGCTGTCTGGTAGAGTTGACCCTGGCTTTTAATTATTGCAGTTTATTAAAAAGGGACACTGCACCCAGACCACTTTAATGAGCTGTAGTGGCCTGGTGACTATAGTGTCCCTTAAAATACACTTTAATTACAAAAATAAATCATCCTGTAGGGCTCCGAGATAGGATATTACCATTTAGTTAAATTTGTTCTATTTGACAGTTTGTTTTTACAATTTTCACAATTTTTGAATTTTATATTTTTGCAGTGCATGCTGATAAGACATACAAGCTTGAGGTACCCCAACGGCATCCCTCAAGTGATATATCATGTGTAACAATTGGGGTAACAGAGTAAACTTGCACAATTTTTTATAGTAAAGCAAGATTAACATGAGAGAACGCCAGAACACAGACATGGTGGGTGCGTATGGTCAAGTTTAAGATCAGAGATTGCGTGTTAACATGTCTGTGGCTAGAGGTGAAGTAAAATAGTAGTGTTTGCATGCGTGATGTGTTCGCTATTAATAACAAGTTTATCTCCAGAGGTAGCATGATGGCACACGTCCCCTAAGAGGCATTAGGCAAATAGTTTGGATAAATCGGGGGTATAAGTGTAGTAAGTGGACAAGTGCGAGCTATTCAGCAACAGTGGGATCTAAGCTGCTTGTGTGGGGAGCAGGCAGCTTTATGAGGAGTACGTCCACAGTCACCTTTTTGCCAGCAGCCGGTAGATCAAAGTCCTCTGCCTGCAGGAGCTCCTCGAGTCTAGGGGTCCAGGCGAGGACGAGATGTAGAGCTTTCCGCTGCAGCTCTGGCTTGTTGGCAGTCTTGGTGACAGCTTGCGGTCTGGCAATGTTCAGGCTCCGCTCTTGTGGGGTGCAGCGATGGGCTCTGTTGGTCAGTCGTGTGGATTTTGGGTGTCGCTTTGTGCCCCGTTGTTTGCTTGCGTGGTGCCCTCTGGCTAAGGCCCTTGCGGTGTTCAGCTTTGGTAAGTTGTGTATACCTTGGTTTAAGGCCTGCGGTAGTTTTGCCGCCGGGTACGCCGTGTAGCAGGCAGGTTTCCCGTATCTGGTGTCTTTTTTTAGGTGGCCCCTGCACCATCTGTTGTCGGGTTCCCTTTTTTTCTGGCTAGGTGTTGGCTTTGGATACTAAGAGTCATCGTTGTAACCTCAGCCAGAAGCGCTGAAAGATTTCCTCAAGTCTCATCAGGGAGTCTATTGTACACAATTTATTTTATATAGTTTAACTAATAAACCTTTATGACTGAAAAGCGGTAACACAAACAATACAAAATCAAAACAAAGCGTAGCACTGTTTTAATATATGGTGTTAATATAACATCTTATATAAATCAACTTATTGGCAGCTGTAATGGCTGTGTAGGTATGAATGCATTTTGTCATAATATTATGCTGCTGAGATATTTGCTGCCACTGGAGTAATGCGTAACAGCCTCAGGTGATGAACCTGCCACCTCATCTCCTTATCATATTAGTCTCTCATATCTATCTCCTTGTGTCCTTTGTCCAAGAGAAATTGCTCCTTTGGAGTACAGCCCATATGAAATATTGCAGCCAGGATGAAATATTCCTGGAACACAACCAATCAAGTGATCTTTGAGCCTGGGAGAGCTATGCAATTTTTAAAAGCTTTTTTAATTCATGGTTCATATGAATAACAGAACTAGCAGCACAAGTCAAAATAGAGAAGCATTCAGTTGAATAGATGCTTTACTGGAATGATTTCTGAATAGTCTACTATTGTAGAAAAAAATCTGCACACACCTAATTAGGGCAACCAAAAAGAATTAACAGAGAAAGGAAAACAGGATGGGTTTGCTTGCATTAATGTTATAATACAGTGCAAGAAAAAACAAAATCAGGAACATTTGCTCAATTTGTAGTTCAGGAGTTAAATTAGAATTATAAAAAGATAGTGTTTGTAGGTTTAGTTAATATTTGAGAAACTTAAAGCAGTAATGTCACAGCTGTGATTTTTCCACAACTTGATAGCTAAATTGTAACAATTTTTTTTAAACTCTTAAATATTTTTTTTTAATTTTTTTAAATTTTTTTATGTTAGTCTATAACTAGCTTTCCTGGCACTGACAAAGCATACTACTCAAACTAAATTAACCTTCAAAGTACTATAAGTGTGGGCGTGTTTGTGCATCTGGCATTTTGGAAGAAATGACTGAGAACAAAGTGGCATGTACAGATTTCTCTGCAGATACTTTGAACACGACCAAAGCTTCATGGGGCGATGACATTGCCCTAGATACAGAAGGTCTGTGGAGGTCAAGTGTGTTATTTTTTTGGGTGGTAAGGAAATAAGAATCTGTCATAGTTAGAGAACTAATAGTACCACTTTATAATTATATAAGTATTTAATTTTATTTTAAAAAAATCTTATTTTGCGGATCTTGTTGATGTTCTGATTGCAAAACGCTGTTACTGTTACATTCTGTCAGCTTGAAAAATTGTACTCCATCAGTTTCATATCTCTCTCTGTATATCTCCTCTCTCTCTCTCTCTCTCTCTCTAATATATATTTGAGAGAGAGAGAGAGAGAGAGAGGGGAGGAGATATACAGAGAGAGATATATGTATATACAGAATTATATATTAAATATGTATATACAGAATTATATATTAAATATATACACATAAACTAATGGCAGTAATCATTTGGAACCACACGAGGCACAGCTGAGGAGACACTGATCTATTGATTGTGACAAATTGAAACATATCTGCTAAGTTCATCTAAAATGCTTTATAAGCATACTTATTAAATCAATATGCATGAAATATATGCTCTTTAAATATATACTGATGAGCATATGGTTAGACTGGCTCCTAAACATATTTTGATGGACACTTAAGGGATAATAGAATTCAAAATAGCCACAGATACATTGTTAAAACCAATTATATTTTTCCTTTAACAGAAATATTTGCAAATCATATGATGCATGCTGACCGTTGTAGGATTCAAACACACTGGGGCATGTTCATTAAACAGTAAACTGAGGTAGGGTTGGATAAACATAGGGACTAACAGAGCTGCAGCTCCAGGCACATAAGCCCATTGATACGGAAAAAAAACAAATTTAAAAAATATATATTGTGCAGAGGTAATGGAGAATGGTAATTTGAGTGGGATGCAGGGGGAACAAAATGTTTGACTAGTTGACCAAAAAACAATGAATTAAAACTGACTTATTGCACAATACAAATGTTCCTGCTGCTTTTGTCACTCTAACAGCCCAACATCCTCCTGTCATCATGTGACAGTGTGGCATATCTCCTTTTCAGTTACACTCATTCCATTTACTTATTTCTCTGTCCCAGGCTGCTTACCAGGAACAAGTTTCTGCCTGATGGTAAGAAAGGAAGAAGAGGAGTGGACAGCCCTGAACAGAGAGGATGCCCACAAACGTGTAACGATGGCACGCACGTTCTGACATAATATGACTACTGTGGGCAAATCAGAGCCCTTCTTAGGCTATTTAAACCCAAAATAGCACATTGTCGGTGCCCTGAAGTGCTTTCCCGTTCTATTCCCATGTGTTTTGACCTTGGCTTGTTCTTTGACTATTCTGATTTCTGTATCCCTTGACTTTTGTTGTGTGGGCATGGCTACAAAGGAAATGCCCCAGACCCATAAATACTTCAGCTTTGCATTTGCACATTGCCCTGTTGGGGTTTCCTTGTGATCTCAATAGTGCATTTTTTTGGGCGTGTCTGAGTTCTCTGATCTCTGTGCTCCTTCACCTAGCTTAGATAATCAATACTGTATATTATGGAATCCATGAACCTTACTCGTTTTTCTTGAGTCAGATATATTACCTACTAAATGCATTGTTCTAAGCATGGCCACTCTAAGGTCTGATAATACGCTAATAAACTTTGTTCTTCTCTTGATTAGTGTAGGTTTATGCACTGCGTGCAGTGTGTGCATACATATCTTGACAAGTTGTCCCTTTTTTATCTGGTGTCCCAAAATATGACATTAAATATGCTTGGTCAATGGAGGGCATTGTAGCCCTGGTTGGTTGGAATGCAGGGGACTCATGATCCTGGGGCACATTTATGTCCAGTTGACTCCCTATTCCAGCCTACTACATGTCGCTAGCGATACACATGTCATCACAGGCACACCTGTTTTGTCTGTTCCATCCAGACTTTTCTCTTTCCAAAAATAGGGGGTATACTGATATACCCCTGACAGAAAACATTGTCCAGTTAAATAGGCCAGTAATGTTGCCAGTTCAAGACAAGGCTCCCTTCACTTTCAAAACATTCCAAAAAATGTTTGTCTAGTATAGTATGGATACAATCCTTACGCCATATTTCATAGGCCTTCCGAGACTCTGGCATTTCATAACTAGTCTTACCAAGGGTAGAACTCATTATAAGCCCACTTAATTCACAAAGACCAACTCCTTTTTGCAGATCTTAGGACTCTCTGCACAAATATGGTCTTTAAGAGGAATTTTTCACATACATCTGGTGGTATAGGATATAGATCCTACTTGGTCTAGTACTCCATATCTATGGTGTCTTATGGTGTGATTGCACCTGCTTGACTGCTCCGACTATTTCTGTTCTTACGTTATCTATTTTCTTTTATTGCTATTTACTTGGTTTGCGTATCTGCAGAGAATGTATGATGTCATTTCTCTCCTGAACTCGACTCAGAGGTTATTCAGTGATTAATTGCAGCCATGATATTTTGCATTCAAATGTCAGTATGCTTAATTGTTTTTTATTTCTTGGGGAATATATTTAATACATCCCCTTTACTATTTTTCTTTACACAGTAGCTACCTACCCTTTATAGTTATCCCTTCTACTTTACCACATAACAAATAACACTTAGCATACAAGTAGTAGATGTCCCTTATATGATTATTGATGTTAAAGGGACACTATTATCAACATTAGCTTGATGAAGCAGTTTTTGTGTATATATCGTGCCTCTGATGTTTTACTGCGCAATTGACTGCCATTTGGGAGTTAAATCACTTTTGTTTTTGTTTATGCAGATCTAGCCACACCTCCCCTGGCTGTGACTCACACAGCCTGCAAAAAAATGGCTTCATCTTCAATCAGATGTTACTTCATTAAAAGTTTTTATCTCCTAATCTGTAATTTAAACTTTAATTACATACATTCAGGCAGGGGCAGCTCTAGACTTTACAAGGCCTTAGGCAAAACTCAAACATGAGGCCCCCCCACTAATACCATTAGTGATAAAAAAAATAGGGGTTGCCTTTTGTGTGCATAAGGAGCTGTACATATATTGAAGGGCGACTTTGCAGTTTTGTATGCAGAGATGTAATCTCTGTATTCATCTTCAGAGGCTTGCATTGTCGCAGCTCCCTATGCTGCTGCGTTGTGAGCACTTTGACTGTAGATATGACATAATTTGCTAATCATTTATATATGATTGCTAGGTATGGTTGTATAGTCTGGCAGTCGTGTATTCATAAGTGCCAGTGTGAAGGGGTTATTTAAAACACTAACATTTTGGTTGGGCTTTAAAAAAAAAAAATCATTTTCCACATAATAAAGTTACAGATAAGAAAACAATGTCATAGACATTTTCCCCACATATTCTAAATTCCTTTACATGTATATTATCATATATGTGTTTCCCAATGTATTGTATATGTATGCATATAATATATATATGTTGCTTGCAACTTTATCTTTGCATTGCCCATATCGTACAACAACCACATTGCAGACAGACACGAACACATTTAAATACTAATACACAAAAAATATACACACTGATACATGTACATGCATACACACACACACACACACACACACACACAAACACACTGATGCACAGATACACAAATATTGACTAATACAGACATACAGTCACAATGTGTTTATCTGACTGTGTGTGTTTCTGAATCTGTCTGGCATTGTCTGCCTGTGTATGTGCCTGAGAGTGCGTCTGACAGTGAGTATCCTTGTATGTGAATATATGTTTTTGTGAGCATGTGTATGTTTGTGTCTGGGACCGTATGTGTGTGTGGTAGCTGCTTGTGGTGTTTTGTGTATATGGGGGGGAGAGGGGGGGCTGCCTGTGGCCTTTGTGCACTTTGTCTATGGTGAAGCTATGTTTTATAACTTTATGTGTATGATGTTTGTCTTCAAGGGTGACTGTGACAGGGTGAAAAGGGTAAACTTAGGGAGGGGTGACAGAGTCAGGGAGGGAGTGGGTGACAGGGGTCAGAGTGAGGAAAGGAGTGGGTGACAGGGTGCTGAGTGAGGGGGTGACAGGGGACAGTGAGGAAAGTAGGGAGTGACAGGGGGCTGAGTGAGGAAAGTAGGGGGTGACAGGGGACAGAGTGAGGGAAGGAGGGGGTGACAGGGGGCAGTGTCAGGAGGGAGGGGTGACAGGGGAGCAAAGTGAGGGAAGTAGGGGGTGACAGGGGGCTGAGTGAGGGGTGACGGGGACAGAGTGAGGGAAGGAGGGGTGACAGGGGGCTCAGTGAGCTGGTGACAGGGGGCAGTGTCAAGGAGGGAGGGGATGAAGGGGCAGAGTGAGGGAAGTCTGGGGTGACAGGGCGCTCAGTGAGGGGGTTACAGGGGACAGAGTGAGGGAAGGAGGGGGTGACAGGGGACAGAGTGAGGGAAGGAGGGGGTGACAGGGGGCTTAGAGAGTGGGTGACAGGGTACAGAGTGAGGGAAGGAGGGGGTGACAGGTGGCAGAGTGAGGTGGTGACAAGGGCCAGAGTGAGGGTGACAGGTGGCAGTGTCAGGGAGGGAGGGAGTCACAGGTGGCAGAGTGAGGGGATGACAGTAGGGAAGGAGGGGGTGACAGGTGGCAGAGTGAGGGGGTGACAAAGGCCAGAGTGAGGGGTGACAGGGGACAGTGTCAGGGAGTGAGGGGGTGACAGAGGGCAGTGTCAGGGAGAGAGGGGGTGACATAGGGCTTAGTGAGTGGATGACAGGGGGCTTAGTAAGGAGGTGACAGGGGGCAGAATGAGGGGGTGACAGGGGGCAGAGTGAGAGGGTGACAGAGGGCAGTGTGAAGGGGTGACAGGGGGCTGAGGGAGGGGGTGACAGGGGGCAGTGTCAGGGAGGGAGGGGTGACAGGGGGCTTAGTGAGGGTTTGACAAGGGCCAGAGTTGGGAGTGACAAATAAAGGCTGCTCAGACATGCCCCTACTCATGGTATAGCGAGTAGGGGCATAATTTACTAATACTAAGTAATCTTTACTTAGCATTAGTAAATTTGGCTGAAAGACCAATTTAGGTCTTTCAGACTTTTAGTAGATAGCTCCCTAATACCGTGAGAATTAGGGAGTTATCTACTTATTCATTCCTGTCATTACATTGACAGGCTAAGTAATTTACATTTTATATGAATGTATGTTACTTGATTGTTGGAAGTGTTGCAAATGCTTACAGCTGAATCCTGGCTATGTTTGTATACTTTTTATTTAAAATTGTATACAATGTAACATTCTTCACTCTTCAACTGGGTAAGTATTAAAAAACAAACAAACATCCATCTTCACCCATGGAGGGCTCCGCGCAGACTGAGCTCTGCAGGGCGGGGCAAGGCCCTGCAATTAGG